ACCCTCCAGTATCAAATATATCGCGTCAGTCACTTAAAGTCAGCGAGGAAGCAATATCTACGGCAGATAAATCACAAGAAATTCCCGAGCAATGCATTGGTTTTCAGCTTCGCTTCTCATTTTTACAGTCATTTTGTCTGGTAAGTTGTTAACGTTGAGCAGACTCGCCTATTTGTCCGCAATATTTTCCAATTTGCCCAGAATTTGACTGGGGGTGTGTGTCAAGGATTCGTTTTTCATTACGATACTGATTCTCTAAGTATATAACTTGGGTGATTTTCCATGATTATGCATTTTCACAGTCGCTAATATGGCCAATGATAAGCCACTGACGTAAGTGGCAGTTAGGCTCGGGGATTTAACTAAGTCAAACGATAACAATTTCCTCATCCCAGCACCCATATTTTCACGTTACTGCAAAACTTCACAGCACACAGTAATACAGAAGCTACAGTATGTCTGGAGTCTGGAGCTCGGTTGCGGCTTCGCTGAGTAATGTATCGAAAAAAAGGACAATGAAAGGTATAACACAATTTTGACGTTAAGACATACTACTCCGAGGTGTCGTCGGCCACGAGGTCGTTAAAGGCAGGGGTGGGTCTTACGCAGGTTTCACGGACATTAAAAAGAAGAAATTAGGTATCACGGGGATTAAACTTCCGTATTCGCGTTTCACAAAAATTTCTGAAGTGAAAGGACTGTACTTCACGGATTTTAGTTTGGTATTTTCACCTTTCACGAAAATTGAAGACGCTTAATGCTGTATCAAGCAATAACCCCTTTCGTATAATTCAAAGCGAATGAAGCATTCAAAACCACAACAAACCTCCGAAGTGAACTATTGGGCGTGATCCATTCAACCAAAATTCCGACCGATCCGACCGGGAAAAGCGGTCCACCTCAAAAGGTGGACCAGTTTTTTCGAAACTTTTGCGATTGGACCGTGTGCGACAAAAATTCCAGAACTAAACCAAGCTAAGCCTGAGCGCTTTGGAATGCAGTTTCATAAACAAATACCGTTGTTAGGTTCGGTTTTGAATGTTTACGGTTTTATCTACTATTATCAAAGGGGTTGTTTTTTTTTCACGGCTGGCTGTTCATTTCGTTTATGATGCAATTACGTGACCTTTTTCGATATGGAACTTGAGCAATTACTCGTGAATGACCAAAGTACAGCTTCTTGCCAAACAATCAATAGAGTAAAACCCCGCGACTAAGAACCTGGATTTTAAGAACCTGTTAGGCTAAAATTTACCAGTTAAGCCCCCTCTTTATAAGAACCTGTTTAGCCTAAAATTTGAAACAGTTTCTTATTTTCTATAATCTATGAAAAAATTCAGTACACTTGGGAAAACAAGAGAAGTCAACATTCAGAATCCTCTTTGGAGACAAAGGTGTCGTATCACTCCAACTACAATCTAACGGTCTGCAGGTTTTATATGAGGAATAAGCTGAACCACTGAATACTCTTAGCTTAATTGTATTTTTTTCTTCAGAAAATAAGAACCTATTTAAGAACCTAAATAGGCTCAATTTGTGATAACTACCATTTATATAAGAAACTGTTTAGGCTAACTTGGAAACATCCAGGTTCTTAGCCGCGGGGTTTTACTGTATGTCTTCCAAGCATACGTCGCAAACGAGGAAAATGATGAAAAACTGTTAGGCTAACAAGTTTTCAAAAGCCACAATTGCAATCCGTTTTAATCTTCTTCAAGTTTGTCCATCCTTGCCTCCTTTTGTATTTGCTGTGTTATTTATATCCGTAGTGAGGTCAAGATGGCTGGACATTGGCCAAGATCTTTTCTTTTCATTCCTTTCAAAACAAGCCCCAAAGACTAATTATCAGCCGTAGCAAGAGAAACAAGTAATTCAAAAACAGCATGCAAAGAAGGAAGCCGCAGGCTGAGGGAACATTCGAGAAGGGTCATAAACGTGATCAACTCCCTTGATATTGTGAAATTTTAAACAAAGGATGGTACGTGCACCGACCGGTTTACACATGTAAATGGCAAACAACCAGATTTGATACCGGAAGCAAAAGTAAAGCAAATTCTGCGTAAACCTAATAATTACTCCACATATATGCCTCTCCTGCAGGGAAGTAAGCTTTCACTTTTGAACGAAGTTTGCACCTAGAAAAAATAAGTAGCAACTTTAGCATTCTAAAGTTACAACAAATTTGCTCAACTGGCCGCGAACGTAGGTAAAACTGTTTGTTTTGTGCATTGTTTTTACCTCATAGATTGCGAAGGTTTTACTCGTAATACTGGGAGAAATTTTACAGAATTTGTTTAAGATAACGGGTTTTACGCTCCATATTAAGACAGATGAACTATTAATTCAGTGAAAGGATTTTTTTCGCCCCTTTAAGGACGTTCGCGCTAATTGTTTCTGCGCATCCCTACCGCGCACGTAATAGACCTTTTTACCGATACATAACATAATCTTTATTTAACGTGGGAGAAACACTTAGCTAAAGCTATTTTGCAGGTTTTCCACAAATCAATATTAAAAAAAAGAAAGAAAGAAATATGTACATAGAAATGTAAAAATATAAAATATCTAGCATCTAAAATTACAAAATTAGATAACTAAAATTGAAT